AGAAAAAAAAACAGGGACTAACTTTGAATGTAAAAATGGATTCATTAACCATTGGTAAGTATGGGAAAATAGTTGTTTACTCCAGGAAATTTTTTTTTTTTTTTTTTGGCCAAAACGAAGAGTTATTATCCCTTTAAACATTTTTTTACTCATTATGTTATTTCTGAAAGTACAGAGTGACAATGGCAACAACAACACTGATGACAGACACATGTGATGGTTATATATACAATGTATGATATGGGCTCGTGACAGAAAAAATTAGCAAGAAATGGAAGCTGTGCATAAGTGCTATAGGGTGATGCCACCGATTTTCTTAAAACCACTCGATCCATTTAGATTTCATCACTAATAATTTAATTTTAAACTTTTCAATGTACTTTTATTAACAAAACAGTCAAGCAGTTTAAAAGATTTAATAAGCAATGGACTCACTTGTTTTGGAACAGAGTATTTATGAAACAGAAATTAAACAAAAATCTTTAGAACTATGAACAATCTTATTGATTAAGACCCCATTCCCAGAGATTAGATCGATTCAACTCCCTGGGGGTTCACGCTAAATAGCTGTCAGCCGAGCGACAGCCACGAAAGTTAATTACCCCCTTACAGCTTGTAGTAGGCGGGACGGACATTTAAGCTGGATTATCTGACAGTAATCTAGTGAGACTCCCAACGGGGATAGATCGATCTAAAATTTATGGGAATGTGTCCTAAGTTTAGATGTTTTCAAAAATCAGTGGCACCTGATTATTCCTGACACCTTCATCAATAGCTACACCAATATTTGTGCTTTTATCCACCAATTTGGAACTGACTCCTTCCTGTGTCTACATCCAATAAGGATTATGAGGTGTGATCAAAATAATGCTGCCAGCTACTTGAACAGGAAAAAAATGGCACCTTTGTGCAATGACAGCCTTATACATGTTATTGATATGTTGAACAGCAAAGATCCTTAGGGCATGCCAGATATGATAGCTAAATTGATACATAAATAAAGAAATAAAAGAAATAACTCAAATTAGGTCCCATAATAATGTATTTCAGGATTACATGTATTATCTTAAGCGTTTCTATATTTGACTTGTACTTCAACCAGCCAGTTAATTTTCCAAGCATTATATTTGTTTTTCCTGATATATAAGGGGTGTGTGGGGTTGGTTGGGGGAGGGGGTGACAGCCTTTTGCATGCTCAAATGTACCAATCAAAATAAATCAGGTAAACCGGCTATGCCAGGCACATTGGTAACATACCCAGCGGGCAAATTATGTTGTTTTAACGTTGAAACAAAGTTGAACCATATCGTTTATAACATGTTGGATAAATGTTGGATTTGAATGTTGGATCAACGTCATATATAACAACGTTGTATCAACCCCAGTTGTTAGACAACATTCTTGCATGAAAAGACATCAAAATGACCTGAAATGTTTTTATTTTTGGTACAAAACACCGGTACACAATTATAACGTACACTGTAAAAACATTCAAGTACATGGTTTGTCTGATTTTTTCAACGCATTTAGCTCCTAAGCATGTTTTGCACTAAAGCATGGTACACCCCTTTAGCCTGGATGTGTTTAGCAGTAGGACATGTTTGATGGCTAAATATATGTAGGGTATATGTGTATGGCCTTTAAGTTAGGATTTCCAATGTTTAGTTTTATATATATGTATATAACAAAGTGACAGTCACCTCCACCCGTCTATCTATAACAGGGTACCGAGAACTGTCAATTTTGTTAACTTCACTCCATCACATTTATAGCAACTTATTCATCCTAGCATTAGCTGACCTTGCAAGGAAGTTTATTGGAATGTATTTCTGAATAACAAGTTAAGAAAATTCACTAGTTCACTAAAGACACAAAACAACTGTCACTTTTACTTTAAAGCACTTTTTTTTATTATTTTGATAAAGTTAGTTACAGTATTGATAAACAAAGTATCATGTTTTCAATAATTAATATTTTAAATTACAATCCATGTTTTCCATCACGACGACCAAACAACAATGTTGAGTCAATCAAGGAGTCTGTTATAACTCCTTGAGTCAATGAAATGACCAAAATACAATGTTGAGTCAACGTCACATTATGACAGTGTTTTGGCATGGCTGGATCAATGCTGATTTTACGTTGAATTTAGGTAGATCAACGGCAATTCAACGTATCAACCTGTTTTCAACGTTGATCCAACGTCACTATGCCTGCTGGGATAAAAGCTAGGCTATTTTAAAAGTTGTCAATCAGATGTCAATTGTCAGAAAGCACAAAACACTTAACTGCTCAATAAAAACACTGGGGATGCACTTTATGGTGGTAAACTTTACATTCTGTGGTTTAAGTCAATGACATGCATGTTTTTAAAACAAATTTGGTTTAGTCAAATCAATATCTTATACCAATAATGTTGCATAATTCTTATCATAATATGGAAGAGATTAAAATTTGAATATATTTTTAATTTGAAACTAAATACTTATTAATATACTTATTAAAATACTGCACCCATACTGTTTTTCTTTCTTCTAGATCTATTTTATTCATTTAAACAAACTCTCATCATAATAAACATTTATGCATAATAAAAAATTGACTTTTTACAGGCATAAGGGTTAATTAACCATCACAAAATGTGTTTTACTAATATTTCAATACCAAAACTTAACTTACCTAGGCATATGGATAATGGCATCTGGCTTGAAGAAGAGGGCCATAGCTGCTTGGAACATTGCCTGTTTACAGCTACCTACAATATCCGTATGTAGCAAGAAGTTTAATATACATGCAGATACATGTACCGGGTACATTTAAAAGTAGACACTAATTCTTGAGATAGAAATAATCAAAAACAGTCTACAGTGCAACTATTTATCAGTGATACATTTGTGACCTTCCTTGTATTACCACAACCCCTCAGTTTATCTAATAATGAAAAAGAAAGAACTCTCGATCATTCTCTCTGAAAATCCCTCCGTCCCTCCCTCCTTTATATGCATGCTGATCACCCTCTTACTCACACAGACTTTATCACTCACACACGTGGCCTACACAATTAATATATTAATTACCATTTATCTGAAGGCGACCATTTTTGAACAAAAGAGCTGAATCATCCAGAATTTCCTGCTCTGTGTCATCTGCTAAAGTCACATTGATACCTTTCTTTTCAATGTCTTCCCCTAAAATATTTAAATAATTTATAAAAGGCTTTATTTGCACTTTGAAACGGCACTGCATGTCACATGGTATTCAATATTGGAAGGGTATTATGCATGTTGTGTAGGGTTTCAGCAGACATTAAAAGAAGAATACAAGCCATAGAGATGAGATGAGACTACTCTACATCCAAAGATATCATGTCACTAATGAGGAAGTAAGGAGCAGAATCAGACAAACCAGTGGACCATACGAGGACCTATTGACCACTGTATAGAGTCACAAGCTGAAGTGGTAGATGCACATCCCAAGACCAAAAGGACTTGCCAAAATGACCTAAGTATGGCGGACCTACATGAAAGGAAGATCGCTTAATCCTGTAATGGTCTTTCCGCCTCTCACACGCCTACCCTTCAGGGGCACAATAATTAAATCTCGGCTCAATTCAACTGGTCGAGATTCTACGTGTGGGGAGGCATGTCAGAGACGGAGAGACCATTACAGGATTAAGCGGTCTTCCTTTCATGTAGGTCTGTCATATTTAGGTTGCAGCCTAGCTAGCACTCGGCTCTTCTCGATCTGAATGGTCCCTATGTATGTAACAATTATAATACCCAGTATATTGTTTGACCACAGCCTTTTTGTAAACCAAAAAAAATATTGTAATAGTAAAAATACAATTTACTCATGCCTCAGTGTTGTAGACATGTATTATAAAAAATATATATTGATTCAAAACTAAAGTAAAATTACATAAAACTTTGAACCAAAAGAATTACAAGGCAGCAAAGCTGTCAAATGTACAAACAAAATGCAAAAAATAATGATGCACAAAATAGATTATTTAGTCAAACTTGAAGAATAAACATAAAACTTAACGGCAAAAACAACATCAAGTTTTAATTATGCACAACAGGTATAACACAGACTTTAAAAATAATATTTTGTAACTGGCCTAATTAAGGCTTCAGCCAATGACAGTTCAAATTCTCCATATGTTAAAAATTAACATGGAGGCACTATGTGTCTGTAAATAAAAAGTACCAGTATACGTGGAACATTTTAAAGGGGTAACAACTGTTCGTAAGATATCCATATTTCACAATAAATACATTGTAAAAACTCATAGAAATTCTATATTACCACCAAAATGGTGGTTAATGCAATTATTCTGGCATTTGTGCTTGCCATCACATCACGTGACCTCCATAGATGGCTACACTCTGTAATAATCTCTAAAGAGAATATTACAAAAGAACACTTTTTAGAAAAAAAAAACAGGTTCTAACTTTGGATGTCAGAATGGATTCATTAACCATTGGTAAGTATAGGATAATTGTCCTTTAACACAGGAAAATTCATTTTTTTACCAAAATGAACAGTTGTTATCCTTTTAAGCAAATAATGATCAAAATTCTTGTAAGGCTGTTGGTTACAGGTAGAAGTAATCACACCACTACATCTGAGAATTTTAAACAAAATTTTGATAGTGCCCATACACTAAATTAAATTAAATATTAAGGGATCTATGACACATACATGTATCCCAATAGATTTCTGCAGAGTATTTATGCCTACCTGAAGTGACTATGGATACTGCAGTAACCATGAGGGCAACTGCTGAGACACACTGTAACATGTTTATAATGTCCAGCCCAGCCAACAACTGAAATACAAAATTAAAATGCAATACTTCTTTTTTAATGGTCTCATACATGCCATATAATAATAATGATAAATAATAAGGATATCTATTTAAAGTCTAAAATCCAAATATGTTCGGTAAATGTTTATAATATGATTGAAGAATAAAAAAGGTTAGTAAAAGAAAAGGAAAACATAGATTTAAACAAATACATTAAAAAAATATATAGAATCACTGGTACAAGTGTTAGTTCATAAAGTCATTTTGAAAAAGTCCTTTAAAATCTAGTCATAAAGATAGATTCTCATTTCCCTACTTAAAAATTAAAACCCAGCCCAAAATAACAAAAGTGTACAGCAGAACTGGTCTAAAAAACATTTTTAATGTAATGGCAGATTTTTGCAGAAAACAATGTTGGCATATTTTGGAAATATAAAAAAAATTAATATCTTGGAGGTGGGGAAATTAATTTAAATAATTTTAGTATTCTTTTTTCTTTAAACTCCATTTCTTTATTTCTCTATCTATCTACCTATCTATCTATCTATCTGCTATCTATCTTACATGTATGTTATTTTTGTTTCATCCTGTAATATCCATTACAACTGGCCACCATTTATCTAGCGACACTTATTTTCATTTGTTTTGTTTATTTTAAAATTATAAATTAATGTTCACATTGCCCAGTGATAAATACAGTAAAAACTTTGAAAATTTCATTGCTTAATAATTAATTTATATTATTAATTTCATGAATATGATGAAATTTTCAAACCTCCAACTTGCATACTATTTGCATACTATATAAATATGCATACTATTTGCCATCAAAGAAATCTTTTAAAATGCCAACTATTGGAATGCAAAGAAGATGATGCCTCCTTTTTATAAGTAAACTGAAAGGCACTTCCACAACAAACATGTTTCCAATGGTTTAGTCAGAAGAATGAAAAAGTTCAAGTGATATTTTCATTGCTTGACCATCAACAGAGCCATTACAGCATGTAATTGCCTTCCATAACCTGTCTAGACTGAAACACCATCTCTGAGATATTATTTCTTCAGCAAGTACTGCCTAACCCTGCTTCAGGTGCTGCATTTATTGTTGTCTTGAGACATAAGTATTCTCTTTCTCCTTATGAATACTGCGGATTAGCAATTTGAATGAGGACCAAAATCGCCCACTGGCATGCAATTATGACAAATAAACATGTCATCACCCTGGATGACCAGTACTTGTGATGTTTTGAACAATCTTCTTAGTTTACTAGTTCAAAAACTTATGCTGCTGGTTTGATGACAACAAAAAATTTTAACTCAGTTTTTTGTTTGCTTCCCTCTTTTTCTTTCAAAATTGAAACATTTTGTGGACAGATAGCCAAAAGTGGAAAGCAACTAGAGTTACACTGCACAAATTCAAAAAAGTGAACAAGTGTCCATGAAAAGCATAATCATCAAAGTTTTAATTTGAAAAAAATGAAAATCTATAAGAAAATCAGACATACAATATACATGTATAAAAATAAAAATAAAATAAAATATGCTACTAAAACTTACAACCGCGTCTGGCAACAACTTTGATAAAGAGCCACAGAAATGGCTTACCAGTACCCTACTGGTAGTACATGTATATCACAATAAGTCTAAAATTAAGCTGAAATAATGTTTTTCATCCATTGGTTACATTAACTATTGGGTTATCAAAAATCACTAAAAGAAATTATTTCAAAATACACTGAATTACATTGTACTTACTTTTGACAAAAACACTTTCTGCCAGACCTAAGAAAGGCACTAATAGGATGGTGCTACCATCTCATAAATGATACCCAAGTGGTTCTTCCCCGGTTTCTCTATGATGTGTCTAAATTTTGCAATAATATTTTGAATAAAATTACACAATACAGTCCCTTCCAGAATTTTACTATAAATGTAACAATTTGCATCATAATGTTAATCAAAGCCTGTGATTGGTTAAATTCTGCGTGTGTTCTTTCCCTTGGTCAAGAAGGGTGGGTTTCACAGGGTAAAATACAGCAATGTGTATATCATATCAAACTTTCAACTAAATATTTCTCCTCTCAAAGGAGAAAACAATTTCCAAAAGTCTTGTCATACTTCTACAAAAACTGTGTTATTTTATAAATGTAAATTATTCATTAAGTATTGACAAATCAGTCCGTGGAAGTTTACTGTTGAAAAATGGTTGGTTATTTAAGAGGATGGCTGTCTCAAAGGTTGGTTGTTCAAATTAAAGAATTTGTTGTTAAAGGAGTTCGCTGTCCAAGCATTTGGTAGTTGTCAATCACAAAAGTTAGTTATTCCAAGAGCTGGATGCCTAAACAGTTGGTTGTTAAAAGAGTTGGCCATCACAAAAAATGGTTATTTCAAAGGTTAGCTGTTTTAATTGCTGGACCTTCAAAGAGTGAGCTGTCACAAAAGTTGGTTATTTTGAAAGGTTGGCTGGCTTAAGAGTTGAATGTTCAAAGACCGAGCTGTCACAAAAGTTGGTTCCGTATCTAAAAGGTTGACTGTCTCAACAGTTGGTTGTTGACAGAGTTGGCTGTCACAAAAATTGTTCATTTTTTCAAAGGTTGGCTGTCTTAACAGCTGGATGTTCAAAAACTGAACTGTCACAAAAGTTGGTCATTTTAAATGGTTGGCTATCTCAACAGTTGGTTGTTGAAAGAGTTGGCTGACACAATTTTTTTTCAAAGGTTGGCTGTCCCAACGGATGGTTGTTATAAGCAAAGGCTAGCCAACTTCAGTGGCACATTTGGTTGAAATAACAATGAGCAGCAATAGTAGTGCCCCAGTAGTTACCTGATGAATAATTTAGTGTTGTTTAGTGTTGTATGGAGTGTTGATGTTCAGGCCTTGGACCCATCATGTTAATAGGTCCAAGATAACTCAAACAAATTATAACCAAGGTTCAAATGAATTTTTCCCCTTGCCATAAGAAGAAAATGTTTTTAGAATACATGTTTACTGGCATGTACCACAAATACAATTCTTATATGGTCTGTTTGTTTTGTAAGTTTATAAGTTTTTAAACACACGAATTGTGATGCTCAATATTTCCAGAATATTTTTTAAAATAAGATAAATGCCATAAGAGTATTTCTTAAGTGTAGAGGTACCGTGCAAGCAAACAAACACAATGATGAGGCAACAAATCACATGTGACTGTAAGCCCATGAATCAAATGCATATTTTGCATTCACCAGTGCAGCCATTAAAGGCTAGAGGCACTCATATTTCTCAATTACTGCTCCTGTCACACAAGAGCTGCTGCTTGGTGACATGTTAACAAAAAGGTTGCATCTCAATGCCTCTAGTTTCCACATAAAACTGAGTAATCCCCTGTTGTGAATGTCTCCCCTCTTTTTTTTTTTACTAATATTTGATATTTTTTTCATTTAATTTTTTACAAATTGAAACATTTTACCTGTTAAAATATACAGAACACCTTACTGACCAGTATATATATTTCACTGTACAAAGGTTTTAATAAAAAAAATATGGGTGACCTAGGAAGACATCTTCCTGTGGCAAACTAATTGGAACAGTACTTTAGTAATTGGACTTAGTTTTGCAGTAATCTGAATTAATGCCATGAGAAAACAAGTAAAAGTTGGACCCGCTGTGCCAGGGGTGTCTACCTCACAGCCAGTGGTCTTTGATCAAACCTGTTCTAAGCAGTCAGGTGTAAACTGTTGACGCTATCCACAGACGAGCATGAGACATCTCAAGGACATGGGAAAGTCTTTGTACATAGCACACATAGCCTTTGGTCATGCAGAACAAATTGGGAAATGACAAAATCTGGTGTCTGATATCTAAGACAAAAACTGATGTCTGAAATCTGGGATGAAAGGTGATGTCTGAAATCTAGAACAAATAACTACAAACTTCACTTTGCATAGATTGGTCAAAATGAGGAAAAAATCATTGCTCCATTTGATGATCACGAGTGCCAGTGGTATTAAATCCCAAGTGAGATTTTAAACCTCAGCGTATAAAAAAAATACAAAAGCTTGTTGACTAAAGCTTTTTGGAAAGCTTGCTTGACGGTAGGCTGTGTTTAAAATAGAAGTTAGCGTACCAGCAGGATCAATCTATCTCAGCAGGGATTCTGGATAAGGTGCAGACAATGCGATCAGTCAGGGACCATTCCCAGACCCTATCATACTAACTGTGATTTGATCTATCTCTAAGGGGATTCTTGCTAAATTGCAATTAACTTAAGCGACTTAGATGTCTGTCACGCCTACTGAAGTTGGTAGGGGGTAATTAATTATCGTATAGCAGCTTCAGTAGGCGTGCCAGACATCTAACCCACTTAAGCTGAAAGCAACCCCTTGGAGATGGATCGATAAATTGATCCTGTTAGATTGATCTAGGTATGGGAACCCAGTTTTAAACTGTCTGGCATACACCTCTAAACTTAAAGTGCCTGAGTAAAGTCAGAATAACTGTGTGGTCCATGATGTTGTTCATGTTGCTCTGAGAGGGGGCATGCCATAGAATTAATTGGATTACATTGACTGCACCTCAGCAAGAGTCCCTGCTGAGATAGATCAATCCTGCCAGTAGGATTACTTCTTTTCTGAGCACAGCCTTAAAGTTTGTCATTAGTAAATATACTTCTTTTTAACAAAATCATCAAAAATTTTTCAGACATTTGAGCAATGTCAATAACATATGAAAGTGTCAAATAAACAAATTTTGTTTTCTATGGAATTAACTAGTATCATGTGATGTCCCCTTACATGATACAGCAATATGCATTGGTAGGTAGAGGGATCAAAGCCTTAACCCCCCATCCTTCCCAACAAAAAAAGACATCTTTTTAAAACACCATGGTTAGACTGTCTGTTAACCCAACTTCATGAGAAGAAAAGACTCCATTGTGACCCAAAGAGGTACAATGCAAAATGTCCCGTACAGCACACAGTATTTCACAGTAATTCTTGCAGCAGGGAGTAGCACAGGTTGAAAAATAATTATAGAATCTTATTGTATGGCCACAAAGCTTTGTGATTGACTTTTTTATTTTGCAAATTTTAAAGATTTCAACAGATTTTCTCTCATCAATTTAAATTTCAGATATTTGCAATGAAACTTACTTCTATGTGATGAGATGTGCAGAAGCATTATTCAATTCACCTGCTTAAAGAGACAAATAAAACTGCCCTATTAAGTGTTAAATGTACTACTGAGCTCTATCACATATAATGAAATATTTTCCTAAAATGTTTTTAAATAACATATTGGGGATTTTGCAGGTAAAGTGTGATAACATTAGAACACAAAGTATCTTATTGGTACCATTTAAATTAAAAATTAATCAGATATTTTTAAATTATTAATCAAATAATTCATTCTACAATGCATCTGGGTATGATATCTTATATACATGTATTAATATATATAAAACACACCAAGAAACAAGCAGTGTTGTGCTTGTTCACATAATGTATATTATGTCCTCCAGCAAAAATATGCTTGCTTACAATATTTAACAAAAACAACTCTCATATTTCATTAAGAATACACTTACTGCAAGGGTTACTTGATTCCAATAAAAATCAAAATGTATATAAAAGACATAATACTAAAATTGACTTATTGTGAAAGCATGCTTTCCATTTTCAAATAAACATTAATCCTTTTTCATATGGTTTTCTCGCAAAAAGTAAAAAAAAAAGTTTGGTAATTTTCCTATTTCTAACACCATTTGCAATATGGTTATCTTTGTGGAATACATAGGATCAGTAAATGTTCTAACAGTCTTGTTTAACCTAGCTTAGCTTAGACTAGTCTAGTCTTCAACGATATAATTCTTGGGAAGTATTTTTGTCTCTTTGGTTTCTGGATTCTTCACAGACACTTATCTCTACATTCCTGGACAGTTTTGAAGTTGTTTCCTCGATAAGGGGTCATGCTGCACCCACTGTAGATAAAGGCTTGGCAACTAAGAGTGTCCCGGTTCCTGACTGGTCCAATGGTCCCCTGGACTACCCCATAGCGTATCATGTAGTGGTCTGTACAGTTCCGTGGTCCAACATGAATCTCCATGTCGCAATCTGAAAAAAAAACAGAGTATCAATATTAATCGAATTGCTAATTCAAACCAAGAAATTAGATAGAGAATTAGAAAATTTTTGTTCAAACATTACACTAAAAATCTTTTCTACTAGTTCTTAAAATGAATAATTATGTCTTGTTACCATTATTGCATCTTTAATATGCCCTATAGTTGACTTAAATTTCAAAATACACATTTTCAAATAAAAATGTCTACTTCAGATATTTTATTTTCATGTCAATTTTAGATGCTATTCACTGACTTATAGATTACAAACCCTAGCTTAAATTTATATACTATAATCCGTAATCCAGTTGAAACTAAAAACTGCACATTTGCGCTAAATGCTGACAGTTGGGTATTGTTTCCTTACCTGTGTGCTCACCTGACATCTGACAGTAATCTAGTTTCCTTACATGTGTGTTCACCTGACATCTGACAGTAATCCATTGTTTCCTTACCTGTGTGCTCACCTGACATCTGACAGTAATCTACTGTTTCCTTACCTGTGTGTTCACCTGACATCAGTTAGTAATCTATTCTTTCCTTACCTGTGTGTTCACCTGACATCAGTTAGTAATCTATTCTTTCCTTACCTGTGTGTTCACCTGACAGTTGGGTATTTTTTTCCTTACCTGCATGTTCACATGACATCTGACAGTCATCCTTTGTTTCAAAATGGTTGTCTCCTTTAGAGCAGCCACCCCAAGTAAACATCTGACACATGCAAGTCTGGGGGTTGTAAAAGTAACGAGGGTGCGACTCTCGGCATGTGCCATAATTCACAGGTGTGCGGCAGGCACTGTTAGCCATGTTGAGATACTTGCAGCTGGACGTCACAAGAGATCCATCATGGTTAGAGTTATCGACTGAAAAAAATCATAGTGACATTTGAATTTTGTCAGTGAGACACGCATCTTTTAAGAAATACAATTGCATGTATTACTTCAACAAGATATACACCCAAAACTACCATGTATTAATATGCATGTCCTTATAACCCATGCAGCACTCAGTAGCCCTGTTGGATTTTCTTCTCCTTTATCCTATATTAAGTTACATTCTTATATAATTTAACAATGTCACAAATCAAAATGTAAATTGCAAATTTTTATTTCATATGGACAATTTTACCAGAACACAAAGTGAGCAATTACATCCTGTTATACAAACAAAAAGATGTTACAGGACATAAAGTACTTTTCAACATATGTATAATATTTGATAACCTTTAAGAGAAAGTACAAGAGTTTAACAGATGTTGAATCCAAGTTCATCATAATGCTACAGTCAATATGAAGCATATTCATGAAATGCCATTTAGTTGATAGGTAGCTGTTTTTTTATAACCTACATTTCATCTGGCATAGCTTGTTGATGTCATTGTAGCATCATATTGAGTCATGTCTGGCTTGTCTATAGCTCTCTCTCTCTCTCTCTCTCCAACTTTCTCTTACTTTTCATCTTNGTAAATTGCAAATTTTTATTTCATATGGACAATTTTACCAGAACACAAAGTGAGCAATTACATCCTGTTATACAAACAAAAAGATGTTACAGGACATAAAGTACTTTTCAACATATGTATAATATTTGATAACCTTTAAGAGAAAGTACAAGAGTTTAACAGATGTTGAATCCAAGTTCATCATAATGCTACAGTCAATATGAAGCATATTCATGAAATGCCATTTAGTTGATAGGTAGCTGTTTTTTTATAACCTACATTTCATCTGGCATAGCTTGTTGATGTCATTGTAGCATCATATTGAGTCATGTCTGGCTTGTCTATAGCTCTCTCTCTCTCTCTCTCTCCAACTTTCTCTTACTTTTCATCTTGAAAAATATTTTACTAATTTTTCAAGCTCCTTGAAAAATTAGTAACAGAGTGTGATTTTTTTTCCTACATACGACAGCATAACTTTCTGATTCCTTTTTACCATTCAAATATACAGCCTTCATTACCTATCTTACTCCCTGGGCATGTCTTGTCGGTGACACAGATGCTTGCACACTCCTGCTCTGTCACGAAGTTGTTGTTATTTCCCCAGCAGCCGCCAAAGTAGAACATATCACACTGACATGTTGTCTGGTTGAAATACCATCGCTGAAATCTTCCCTTGCAAGGACCGCTTGCCATCTCCTGCATACAGCGAGCAGGAGGCAGGAGTTTCTTTACTGTTGCTTTGTCTACAAGATGTATGTATAATGAGATTACTCTTCACTTCCATAAATATTCCATACTTAGACTATACAACAATATAATTTTTCAAAAGGCTGTGGCTAAATTCTCAATGAAGTACCCAGTAGATCCACAAAGACACTTTAATTCAAAATACTTTATCACTAACAACTGGTTTTGGAATGAAGCAGAGAAAACTTGTGAAATATTTTTTCAGAATTCCTCAGCAAATATTTTATGGCGTGCTAGACATTAATAGTCTCAGCAATATTTCTCCTCCCCACCTGTGACCAAATGACAGGCAGTACTAAGCATCACCAGAGATTAGTCAAGCACAAGTGAATTAGAATTGTTTGATAGTACGGTAAAGTCTTGAAAATTTCGTCGCTTAAAAATTAATTAATATTTTTAATTATGTAAATCCGACTAATTTTTCAAAATTACCTCTCCCCGACTCCTGGGTATGACGAAATTTTCAAAAATCCGGCCTTTGGGCTTTTATCCTTAGCGACTGTTATCTTTGACCCTCCTATATTGTGGGATATTTATTACTACTTCCTAAGTCATTTCCTGGTGGTAAATAATAATCTATTTATTAGTGCATCTCGATTAAGTTATATTTAACTTACTGTACCCGAAAACATGTTGAGAATTATTTTCTCGGTAAGAAACCTACTTCCTGATAGAGGAGAAGGATCAAGATAAGCCTAATTGCAACCTTGCATCATAACTTGGACGCGACATATTAAAAAAATTACGCACTTGGGAACGTTTGTTGCATAGGGCTTTTCCCAGGATTGAGTGTCAGTGTCTAACATCGCGAACGATCTCCCGATAATGATATGAAAATTGCCTTTTCAAAAATTATCGAGTGCCTCATTTTCAAGGTCGACGAAGTTTTCAAAGGGAAAAAAATTACGTCGGCGGAAAATCGTCTGCCGACGAAATTTTCAAGAACGACGAAATTTTCAAGACTTTACCGTATGGATTTTTGATGTTTGTGATTTTTTTCTTGAGAAATAAAATCACAGACACACACACACACACACACACACACACACACACACATCTTAGAAACATGAGCCTGCACCAGCACATAAAGCTTCCAATCCTGTTGACCTCACATCAGGTGGTCAAGAATGAATTCAAATGCAGTTGCTAATATGGAAAGCGAAAGCTATACCTATTAATATGAAATAAAATAATAACATGTAAATATCATAATGCATATACCTGTCTCCTTTCTTTTGCACATGTGCTCACATTCTTCTTTACTCCAAAATTTGTTCAGGTTTCCACGGCAACCCCCATATAAAAATGTGTGACATGCCTTGGTAGCAGAGTTGTAAAACCAAAGCTCAAGAAGCGCTCTACAGGGTCCAGGGTCAGCTGGCCGATGACACAAAGCTGGGGGACTAGGGGAAAGAAAGTCCTCTAAAGCAAAGAAACAAATTCCCATTCAAGTTTCAAGTTAACAGCACACTTAACAAGCAAGTACCCTCTACCAGGGCCACAGATTGATATTTCACTTGATATTCACAGATACATATCTGGCTATAGCCAATTCGTGACAATTTTTTCAGTGAGAATTTTTGCATGGAATTGATTTAATCACTCGACTGGCCTCTAGTATAGAGTAAAAAGCAGGTGTTCCTTCTTCAATCCCAAATAAACATCTCAAAGATATGGTGGCAAACAATATATATGATTACTCAAGCTATAAAATGATTATAAACTTTTGCAGCAATTATAAATGTACTCATATAATGTAAAAGCACAAGAAACCAAATGTCCATACGGATGCCCAAACAAATTAATCAAAAGAGCATATAAAATAAGATTACATGAGGCTATATATTTTATATTGTATTAAAAGCTCTTTGTTATATCTACAAAGACTCTCTTTGAGGTAAATATTAAGTAAACATAAAATGGCACTTATGTGTCAGTGATAAATTTGGTTTTCATGGGATAAGACAGAATAGTACAATCCCCTGAAAACCAAATTTATGATCCATCACTTTTGTCTTGCTTTTCTTTAAAAGTAAATATGCACTATTTCAATAAGGGTAAATCCGTTGATTTAAAAATGCAATTATCTAGTCTACAATATTACAATTATTAAAAGTCTTGTAAATCCAAATATCTTCTTAATCATGCCAATATAGGTCAGTGCACTTTACCTTCCTTTTGTGCATAACAGAAGTGGCTGGGGACAAAGATGAAAAAGTAAACAGCAACTCCTAATCTTATTTTCATGATTTCTCCTCTTCTTTATTACCTAGCAAACAATATTTATAATAATAATGAAATTATATCAATTTCAAGAAAGCAAATTCATATTCTATAAAGCGACATTGTAAAGAGAAAGCCAACAAGAAAATCTTTATATGATCTATGTGGTGAGAATATTAATGCTCACTGAAGTGTCAATTTTTTTAAAACATTTGATCAAACATTTACCTACTCAAACAAATTTTGTCTTCCTTGATTCATATTCTATATAAAGTATCTATTACAGCACATAAGAAAAAAATGTAATAACTATGGTAAAAATATTTATGCTTAACCTACCTCTTCTTTGCCAAAACAATTTCTCTCTTGTCGTTCTTTGTTACTGTATGAAGCACTATTAATCAGTAGAAGAAAAACACCTCTTACACTCAATATTAAGACGCAATAGTAACCGTCTTCAAGCAACAAGAATATTCAAGTTTTGCCACCTTACAGTTATTAGTATCAGCAGACGTCAGGGTGGTGCAGTCTAACTCAACAGCTGCCTCCAGGAAAATATGAACAAGATTGGTAAGGTCAACTTGTTGTTCTGAATATTAAGTGAGTGCTTGGACTCAAGGCTATAATTATGAAACAAGTAGTTGCACAGTTATAATTACCATTTAATAGAGCATTTAATACTTAAACCAATATTTTGCAATTAACTCTTTGCCAAATTATTTTTTCTGTTCATTTAATTTCATTCTCTTATTACTTTTGTTTAATTTTTCTCAGGATAAGAAATAACAGTCCAGCCTTAAGGGATTACTTTCATAAACAATTTATCACTGTCAACTGACCTTAAGCAAATACTCATACCTATTATTACTCATTAACAGCAGTAACATTCATCAAAGTCGAAAGAATATGGCAAAATATTTCTGAACAATCAATATGTGTGAAAAAAATGCAAATTCAAAAATTTGAGTGAATAAAAAAATAATAAATAAAAAAATTTTTAAAAAAGTGTCTGGTTATATCAAATGGTATAAATTAAAACACCTTATATTTCTTATGAAAAAAAAATCCGGCTGATGATAGGTAAGTTGTAGTTACTGAAAGCAATCTCTCTATAAATAATATCAAACATTTTTGTACAATATTCCATTAAATGAGAGAAACTGTTTATGCACGTCCACATTTTACTTTAATTTCAAGTTATGTATTTCAAATCATATACAGCATTTTAATTATAGCATACAAGAAGATCAGGAATTGTGACATCTGCCAATAAAGTTAAAATGTGTGATGTAATCCTGCCAGAAAATTTAAATGCACAGGTACAGAGCATTAGCAAAGAACACTGGCGTCAAGACATGCTACTTATCAAGCCTAGGGTCACATGACAAATTCATTATTTTCATAGTATTTAGTCGGGTCTCTAGAGTCTACTGATCTAATCTAATAGAGTAACAGGAACCAAATAGCACCATAAAATATTTTCTAAGCAAAGTGACTTCCAACTGGCATACTTGTAGTTAAATCAATTTCTCTTTATGAGATCATTCAAAATTATAAAGAGACACTATATGAGAAATTTGAACCGTGAACTAATTGTTAGTCAATAATGCCAAGACTTATATAGTCAGAAATTCTCCCTGTTGTGGTCTTAAGTAGCTTTACTGCTAAACCCTCAACTGTTCCATTACCTCTACTTGATTATGAATGGTTTTATCAGAGGAATTAGTGAGATTTTTTTCCTTAACATTCTCTCTGTAAAAATTCCTCATATATACATTAAAATATTCCAATCATTCTTATGCTTTTATAGCCCTGTGGTCTTTCTTTTCATAAGATTTAGGTTTGTATGTCCATTTAATGTGTTTGGCCCTCTTTCTGGGCTCTATGATGTTTCTTTTCTGGAAGCTTTTGAATCTGTCCACCAATAAATGTCCTTCTGGCTGGAAACACAAAAGACAAAAACATCTGTTATGTCACCTGCTACTGATTGAGAAAATTTTTAATCTCACAAGCTGTTACCTCACTTCCTGTGAAGCACATATGGCATATCAAATTGTGCTTGTAACTGAGATATAAAACCTATCATACAGAAATTATGAAGAGAATTCCACATTTAGCAAATCAAGCCATTCTTCAAACCCTAAGTCCCTCTTTCTCTCTCTCCCTTACACACACACACAAAGAAAAAACATCTTTCTTAGGGTTACTGACGCACTTAACTTCTTTCAAATTTTCTGATAATCAACTAGCTCAGACTGCTTAAATGAAAAATTGAATAATAGAATAACAGTTAGCTCAACATATTCAGCAGTTTTAGATTTCTTAGTCCTTCAGTTTGCTACATTGAAACAGACTATCCCAATAAAACAGGAACATGGGTGTGTGTGCACACATGCTATCCCACTCCTGTACATATTATTCTTCACATATGGGTTTTGTCAAGAGGGATGCATATTGCAAAATGTTTACAGTCTATGAAATGAATCACTGAGACCAATTTTGGCAGTCAATCAGTAATCATTTACCCAAATTTCTGAACTAAAATAATTATTAATTGCCCAACAAAACATTCCCCAACTTTCTTTTCAGCCAAATTTAATCGTCTTAAACCAATGAAAAAATGCCCGCTGCTGTAAACCAAACACCTTCAACTGCATGACAAAAATTTAAACTGATAATCTTTTCCCTACCTTTAGGAGTCTAAGTGATCCTTTTAATTCATCACTTAGCTGAAGTTCTAGGTCAGGGGTTTCAAATCTGGGATAACGTTAAGGAAGGTTATAAAAAAAAAACAACCTGTCAGTCAAAAAATTCTGCTGTAAATAAAAACAAGAATAACATTGATATTGTTAAAAAGGCTTTTAATAATGTAATTGTCAAAAATAAATCATTCTTATTTATCTTATAAAGGATACTTCAGTTTGCCCAGCTTTTTTGGGTTGGCAATGGCTGCTTTCCTTTTTTCAGCTTTTCGGGAAGCTTTTGCTTCACGTTGCTTCACTATCTCATTCACCTCTTTCTTGATAGATTTTAATCTGAAATTGAGAGAAACAGAGATAATATGCCTAGTGATATGATAAAATTGCTCTAATTTTTGGAACCTATAATTAAATGCAGCATGTTTATAAAATATATTTGATAAGTGATCAACATATATTTATTGATTTTTTTAAGTTCCACACATTTTGGATGTGTTTCATATGCTTTAGGGTCTGATTTAGAACACTGTACTACCTGAGACGCTGGCTGTCTTTTATTTTCTTCATTTTTATCTCCTGTAGCTTTTTCTCCTGAAAACAAAGCACATCATAGAAAAAAATGCTCCGAATGAAGGTGGAATGCATGTGCCAACACTTCAATTAATCTGCAACATTTAAATATCTGTCTACTTCAAAGTATTACACTTTTAAATCTACTGCTGCCTATTTTTAACTCTTACCTTCTCAAGTTTTAACTTCTCTTTCTTTCTCTGTTTTTCTGTTTTCTTATTTTCCCGCCTCACTGGGGGGTTTGTTGTTAAATCATCAGCATCCTCACTGTCACTTCCATCTTCCTCCTCTTCCTCCTCCTCCCCATCAAGACCCAAAGACATCTCTTGTATCCAGGATTGCTAAAAATTAAAACACCAGATTGCAAGACATTTCATTTGTATCAACTTCTCTCGATATATAGGATTTTAACTTGCCAAGTTTCTTTCAGTTTTCAAGTATCAGTTTCTTGTAATTTTTTTCAGGTGCCATGGATTAATGCCAAATTCATTATCAGTAAGTTAACAGTATCCCTCTCACTGCACATAATAGTCAGAATGAAGGAGTCTTACTAAACAAGAAACCACCTTGGACTACAGAAAAATATAATAACGCCTTTTTTCTCTTTGTAAAAAAATTACCTCTATCTCATTCCAACTCATCTTTTGCATTGGAGCAAGTCTCTCCTCCAGTTTGCTCTCCTCCTTAAGTTTTTTAATTTCTACTTCATTTGCTATTTTTAACAGTTCCTGAAGAATAAAGCAATCAATATAACTTGCAGGGTATAGAATTTTTTATCAATCCTCAAGATATGGCAAATTGATTTTAAAGCAGAGATGAAAGAATGTTATGTTATGTTAGTGGGTCTGGCATAGAATTTATGCTTTATGGTGTATAACATCCAACAAAGTCTGGAAATAAAAAAGGTATGTTTATTAATCATTATTTCTATCATAATATCATTTTATTTTGCTGCAACTAGTTATAAATAAATTAATATGTACTACCATGTTATTTCCTGACTGAACTCACATGACTAATGGAGTAACACATTTCATATATCACATCATCCATAACAATATTTTTACAGTTAAAAGTATTATGAAGGCAAACCTGTTGCTTTGTTCCTAAATAAGTAGTAAAGTCATTTAATTAAACCTTTCACATTATCTGGCATTGTTACCTGAACAACCTCAATAAAACCCCGTACTGACCTGATGATCATCAAAAGCTGGGTTATATGAAGCTCCTGGATGACTAACTTCAATGGCAGGCACCACAGAAGGTTTGGCTCTAAGGCGCTGAGGAGCCTGAAACCCAAAGATATCTTACATCAATCTGAGACATTCTTATAACAAACATTCTTCTGAACAATTTTTGTTTTCCTTATGCGACATAAGGAAAGGGTTTCTGTTTAGTTGTTTGTTTTACAGTCAAGATATGGAATTTTGACTTTTTTTTGTTATCCTCATATTCAAGTTCACATAAGAGTTATAAATAGTACAACTGTGAGAAATGTGTAATTACAGGTCTTTTTTATTTTAAATATTTCAAAAGCAAGGAATGACATTTCCAGGGTTACTGAAAGTAAAAATCCACATGTCAACATTAGCAACAGGCAAAAGTATCTGCTTACTTTAGGTTTTGTCTTCTTGGTATACTTTTCATGATACTCTGCCACCTCCTTGACAGAGGCTGAAAATGCATAACATTTAGCATCATTTATTATTATTTTTCAAGAGATATATGAGATACATAAACCACAAGTAAAAATGCATTATTGCAGGTGAAACTGTAAACATCTTTCAACAGCTATGTGATATTAGCCAGAAGAGCACATTAACTCAGAGATTAAATGAGAAAAACCAACATTTAAAAACCACTGGTAAATCAAAAGATTGGGCAATGGGCAATAATCATGAGATGGGTCGGTATGATAGAAAACAGTGCATTATGTTTTGCTTACAGTTGACATTGTCCTCAGCCCAGAGATCGTAGCCTGTGTTAGGGAGCTTGTTCCTGGTGATCCTTCTTATCTTAGCAACCTCAGCTGCCTTCTTTCTATGTACTTTGCCTTCCCTTTCTCTTGAATTTAAAATGTTCTGCTCAAGCTTAATTCTTCTTCGTTCTGATAATTTCTTGATATTATTGCTTTTGATATTTCTTGGTCTAAAATACAAAATACTTACAAGTAAATGAGAGCCCTACAGATAAACTAAATACTTAAGAAATTTTAGCAAATGGTGGGCAATTTATTTTGTTAGATAATTTGCTAACATTTGGTTATATTCTCCCATTTAGGTTATCAGTCAGAATGTATGAAGCTTAAACAAAAACCATGCAAGCATGAGCCTGGAGGAATATAAATGCAGCTGTTCATATAACTTAATGAAGAGGGGGAGTCATAAAATGGCTGCAAGTAGTATTTATGTAACAATAGTAACAAGAAAAGTATTAAAATGTTTCAAAACTTACATCACAGCTGGTTTAACATCAGTGTTAACATGCAGGTTACCATGACATCTCAATGGTTTTGGCTCTTTCCTTCTCCTCTTGGGCACATCTGGTAAGACATTACAATGTGACAAAAATGTCTGCCTAGCACAGTGTACATGTGCCCACAAAGTATGGAGCAGCATATATAGACCCCATGCAGAAGATATTATAACAATAAAAATTAATTAACATGTGGGTATATTTGCTGGTTAAATTTTTTTTTAAAAAAATGGAATATATTGAAAAAATAAAAAAATTAAGCTGATAATAGTTTTTTCTTTGCAATAAACCAACAACAATTACCATGCCCCTCAGGATCGGCTTCATCTTCCACAAACTTGTCAACAAAGAAGAGCTGTGCATCTGCCTTTTCAGCCACAAGACCACTGTAATTATATATAGACAAG